TTCCTCCCAGGTCATAAGGAATTCTAAAAACAACAAGCAGACCGACAAAAATGACGATGGTGATGGCGCGGAACTTACCTGCAGCCTCTGCCTGCCATCTCCCGCTTCTCCCCAGGTCTCAGTGCAGATGACTCCTGCCTCCTGCCTCCTGCCTCCTGCCCAGGGCGACTTCCTGCCTCCCCGGAGTGGCTCAGGACCCCCGTTCTGTGTTCCCACAGTTGACAGCACTTTTCCTTCGTGCACTTTGCTGCAGTTTGCAGTGACAGCGTCTGCGACTACAGCACTGACGCTGGTCCCTCCCCAAGGGCAGGCCTGAGCCCATTCTGTTCACCATTGTGTCCCCCAGTGCAGGAGCCAGCACAGAGGGGCCACGCAGCAAAGAACTGCTGAATGAATGCGTTACCACAGGACCCGCTATAAAAGTAAAGGGAACTATAAGACCAGATGGTAAGCAAAATAAACAATAAAACAATAAAACCAGAGAACTAAGAGAGCTAAAATCATGTAAGTATAAATGTTTAATAGCTCAAGAACTGGATATCAAGGTAACTTCTTTTTAAGATAAGGAAAGCTGAAGGTGGGAGTCAGTAGCGGAAGAACAAAAGGAGGGAATAAAATAGTTAAAACGGGCAGTAGAGAGACTGGCTCCAGCTCTGACGTGTAGGAAGCCTGGAAGCCATCACTTACTTAGAGCAAGAAACAGCTGAACAAGCTCAGAACCCGGGGATGTCCTTGGCCCCCTCACAGAACAGATTGTGGATGAGCCACCACCCCGAAATCTGGAAGGACGGGTGAATGCAGGCCTGGGGCAGAAACCGTGGAAACCTCGAATGAGTGGGGGAGGATGGGAACACCCCAGTGGTGACTTTGCTGAGTTGCTGGAGGTTGAGTGTGGAAGCTTGAGAGTGAGAAACCCTGGGGCCATCCTCCCAGGGGTCCGTCACACTCTTGTGGTTCAAACCTCCAGGAAGCCTACAGGTTCTCACAAGTGAAGATCCAAGAAAGATCCCCGTTGGCTCTGCAAGGGGGAGCAGAAGAGTCATCCTTGTGGAATCTGCCCAGCGTGTTCTCCCCAACGCAGGCTTGCTCCAAGGCCTGCCCAGGCTGGGGAGGTACTTCTTCCACCCCAGCCCCCTTTAGCCTTCCTGTCTCACCCAAGGGGAAAAGAAAAGCTACGTCACTGGAGGAACGCTTGCGAAGGTCATAGCCCCTAAAAACGGAGACTCCATCGTGGGATGACCGGATGCTTTCCTTCCCCCACACCTCACCGCCACACACACAGGGCTCCGGTGCTGTAACCCTGGGTTCCAGCTGAAAGGGCTGCAAGACGTGGACCCTTCCTGAGGAGTAGGATTTAGGGAAGCCCCAGGTCAACAGGGGAGACACCAGCAGGGACGTTAGAGGAGCCGGAAGCGTCTGGCACCCTCAGCTGCAGCAACCAGTCAGCACAGCCCAGCCCAGCCCTGTACGTCCTCAGGCTGCAGGCCTGCTCACCTTGGTCCTGTTACCTGGCACGGCATGTCTGGTCTCCACAAAACATTGCAAAGCCTGTAAAAAGGGAAGAGAAAAATACAGAGAGAAAGTAACCATCTGAGCCAGACTTAAAGATGACACAGATGTTGGAATTATCATAGAAGGATTTAAAATGACTATGATTAATGTGTTAAGGGCTGTAGTGGAAACAGTGGACAACATGTAAGAACAGATGGGTAAATGTGGCTGCAGGTGCAGAGTTTCACGTGTGCAGGATGAATACGTTCTGGAGATTGAATGAGCGGCTTGATGATTGTGTTTAATAATACCGTATTGCAGACTTAAAACCTGCTAAGAGAGCAGATCTGAAATGTTCTCATCACACACAAATACCAAAAGGTAACCGTGTGTGGTGCTGGCTATGTTAGTTAGCTTGATAGTGGTAATCATTTCACAGTGTGTAGGTAGAGCAAAACGTCATATTGTAACACCTTAAATAGATATGATTTTTATTTGTCAGTTATACCTCAATAAACTTGGGGAAAAAAAGAATAGATGGGTAGGTAGAGAAATGAAAATGCCATAAAAGAAAATGCTAGAAACGAAAATCACTGAAACAAAAATGGTGAAAGCCTTTCCCGGACTCCTCGGTACATCGGGCACGGCCCGGGCGAGTCAGGGAACTTCACAGTGGGTCGGTGGAAACTTCCCAAACTGACATGAGAAAAACACAGTTGGAAAACAAGCAGCAAAACAAGTCAAATCAAAACAGCATTCAACAACAATATCAAAACGTGTCATATATGTATAGTTGGACTATTAGAAGGAAAAGAGATTAGAGCAGAATAAATATTTCAAGTAATAAAGGCTGAGAAGTTTCTGAAATTAATGTCAGAACCAAACCAAAGATCCTGGAAGCTCAGAGAACACCAGGTGGGAAATATACCAACAGACATGGCCGGACGTAGCATAGTCACGCTGTGGAAAACCAACGGAGAGAGAGCCTTGGGAGAAGTCGGGGAAATCACCTGACTTGTGCAGGAACAGGGATAAGAATTCCAGGGGAATTGTCACCAGAAACCACATACGCAAGAAAAGA